TTCATTTGCAATCCCGCGGCTCTGACTGCAGCGCTGAGAGGGACTCCTGCGGGAGCGCTGCGGGAGAACAGGGTTGGGATGGGGGAGGCGCCCCACGGCAATGACAACGGCGGCGGATGACGCATTAATCGCGCGACACAACTAATAGATGATGAAATTCGTTGCCAACGCTTTTAAAAGTCGATTTTTATCGATTTTATCGATCCGTTGTTGCAGCCCTACTTTCATACAAACAGGAGATAAATACATGATGGAAAAACTACATAAACACTGACACAGTATCCAGGATACACCAGTATCAGAATTTAGGCCAAACCAGGGACCAAAGTGTCAAAGAATATCTAACATCGGCCTGTACCCCTGGCAGTGCAGGGGGATCAAGCATCCATAGTATACATGCAAATGCACTCAAACCTCATATAGCTAATGTTAATGCTTTCTTGTAAAGCCCTTCTTGCAGCCTCTTTATGTAGTCTCTAAAGCAGTCGTTTTCAAAATGCTGTCCTGCTGTTTCTCTGAGTCCCTTTCTCTACATGACTGAATCAAATGGCTTCACTATCTCACTAGCTTGTATTTGAATTAGGTCTGTTGAAACAGATGCATCTTAATGGTATAGTGAAAGATATTCACAGATTTTTTAAAAGACCCACCCTCTCCACTTTCAAAAAAAAAAGCATATATACAAGAGGCCTTTCTTTTCTTATACACTTCATAAACACTTATTTTTCTTACCACCCTCGGCTGTTTTTAAAGAACCGTGTTGAGAAAGGTGAACTTCAGTGGCTATCTGAAAGCGTAGCTCGCAGCATATATACACCTGAAAATGCGCAGAAAAAGCATAGCTAACGGGACGAGCATGTAGAACGGCTTTACGTAAAATTATCACCAGAATGATTGACGATTAGGAAGACCTCTTATTTAGATGATCTATATTTTTAAGGTTCCAGCCCCTCAAGGACTGTAGTTTGAGACCATTGGGCTGAAGAACTGCCTGTTTGGGAAAATAAAAAAGGTTCTTATGTTGTGATGCCTGAACTCTACCTCCATCCTTCAATCTCCTAAAAAGTGGAATTTCTTTTAGGGTTTATTATTAAAAAAACAGTATTATGTTTTATTCTTAAAGCCATTTTTCTAATGTAGATAATGAATATTTCAAATTTTGGCCAAAAATTTAGCCCAGATATGATGAGACCAATAAAGGATGTGACGGGATTTCTGCTTTGACTTTTCCAGACCTGCTTTCTTGTCTTATCATTCCTCTATCCAACAATCAATCCTTTGATCTATTTGTAAATCCCTCCACCTGTTTCATCCATACATCCAGCATCACTTCCTCTGGTTGTTCCTGTTTCCGTCTTTAAATCCTGACCTCTGCAGTAAATTAACTTTAAATTGTTTTTATTTTTGAACAGATCCAGGGCTTTAACTTGAGCGGCAGTGAATTTGCTTACGCCAGCGACTGCGCCGGGTTCTTCTCCCCTGGGATCTGGATGGGTCTGCTGACCAGCCTGCTCATGGTGCTGGTGCTGACCTACGGCTTGCACATGATCATGCAGCTGCTCACCATGGACCGCTTCGATGACCCCAAAGGTCCCGGCATCTCGGTGCCGCAGACGGAGTAACACATCTGCCGGTGTGTTTCCTGACTCCATCCGTCCTCCAGTCTCTGCACTGAACCCCTCCTTTCATCCCCGCCTCTCTCATTCCATTCCTAACATGCAGATCATTCCATGTCGTTGTCCCTCCATCACTGAACAAACGTATGAGTGTAACCTTAAATGTGAATCCTGACACTGAAGTGTCTGATAAAGTGGTTAAACAGCCACACAATCTGGGTCCTTTCAGACCACCATGGGTTAATATGTGACCCCTATAAAGGGAGACATACAGAGATAACTGATGCTTATTTATTAAATGGATTATATGCTATTTATTGTTGATACTGTTGTGGTTACCGTGAAGTTTTGTTTGCATTTGGTTTGTTTTAGATATGCGAGATTATTTATGGAAATATTTCATTTTGAATTATGTTCATGAAATTCCATTTTTGTGTTGTAATGTTGACGTGACTCCAATAAAACACATTAAAGGTTTTACTTCTGGTTATTTCAGTCAACTTTAACGCTTGGTTTCTGGTTCAGTTCAGACTTTGACGATATTTATTGTTTAAATTTTGATACAGAAAGTTCAGAAGAAGTTTTTAAATCCAAAGATTTTCAGAATTTAGCAAGAATCTCACTGTTTCATTCGACATATTGGATTGGATGTGTCTATCACTCCTTATTGTTGCGAAATAGGCAACTACCTGGGGCCCCACTTGGATTGGGGACTGCTGGTTGCAGAATCCTCTAACAGCACCCTTTGGATATTGATGTTTGAAATTAAATTATTTTGATTTAGCATAAAAAAAATGACAGACATTGTTACAATACAAAACTACTGTCCTCCCCTTTATACAGGAATAGACCGATCCTTCCCATCACATAAAACATCCAGAGATGCAGGAGGAGCATCAAGAGAGATGAGGCAGAGCTATGGAAGCAGACTTGAATAATTAAGAAAAAAAATGTATAATACCAATATTGGCTTAAACACTACTCTCACGAAACATGTCCAATTTGTCTGTTTGAAAAGATGAATTAGGCCCCGTTATATCAAATTTTAATAATGTATCAAAAAATATTGCTTTATTTCATATTTGCCTACCCTCTCCATCATTACCTGGCATTTAATGGGTAGAAAAATAAGACATGAGGAAATAGTAGTTGTGTACATGTGCCACTGCAATTGCATGCCTGATTTCAGAGCAGCTGTGCTGGACGGCCTGGTGCGTCTTTACGCACAAGGAACAGAAATCAATGGATAAACCCAGACCAATGATAGCAATTAAACTTTAATAATGACTCAGACCAGAAAAAGATGCTAGTTAAAGCTAATTATCTATCAACCCAACATGACGTCAGGTGGATGTTTGCTCTGCAAAGCATCACTGTGTGCTCTGTTTGTCTCTGGGAGCTTCTAGTTGGATTTGCATCCAGGCATAACAATATCTGACAAATCAGTCAGTTAAACAAATTAAACGGTTCTTTAGATCATCACGTGGCTGCAGTCAGACAATATCTATATGATGCAGACATAATTGTTGATCAGTAAACTAGGGAAATAAATGGGGATGCACGATATAATCGGCCCCCTATCGGTATCGGACATCGGCCCCCCCACCAATATTTAACCCGATATTTGATCAGCTTCTGAATTTCTGAAGTCTAAAAAAAAAAAAATACTACTTCTTCTTCTTCCTCAAAAACTTCGTTTTTACAAACTTCTAAAGACGAGGGAAAAAATATTGATACATTAAAATATCACAATATCTTCATATGCTGATATATCGCCATTTAAAAACACCCTATCAATCTCTTTTACTAATGAAATATTGCTATATTTCATCGTCATCGTTATGCTACGAAATCCCCCGAAAATTCACAACATTTTGCCATATTTTTATTTGTTGATATATTGACGCGGTATCGATCTATTTTACTAACAAAATCTCACAAGAATTTGCAAAATATCACGAGAGTTTGTAACAGAACGATGAAATTTCACGAGATTTTGAAAGTAAAATAGATTAATACCGCGTTTTTAAAAATCTATTTGATATCAGCATATGAAAATATATTTGACTATATTATTTTTCAAAGTGTCAGAAATGGATAACAAAACTGCTATTTTCAATGACTACTTATTTTTGTCCAGCTTTAAAATCAGTATCGATATCGGTTATCGGCTACATGAGTTTTAAAATATCGGCATATCGGATATCGGCCAAAATCCCAATATTGTGCATCCCTAGAAATAAACGTACCTGCTGGTGCCTTATTTTCCATACTTTTTATCATCATTCAGCTCTGGGTTGTTTAAGGTGAGTAATAAAAAGAAAAAAGTAGCCTAATAGCAATTAATCAGTTCCTGCATTTGTTTGCAGGGTTATTTTTCTGAACAATATGTGTTATATGTAAAATTATGATCTAATTAAACAAAGATACAGTTTTACTCAAAGTATAACATAAATATGTATTTAGTGCTTGATATCTGAAAAATAAATACTGATAAAAAGAAACATAATTAAAGATAGAGATTTCTAGAAAAGTCCAGGAAGATACTCTTATATTTAAGGCCCAAAGGTCGACACGTTTTTCTCTACTGAAAGTATTTTATAGTTGCTACAAACGCTCAGTGCAAATGAAAGAAGGATCAGATTAGTATATTTAGTATTAATTAAATATCTAGAAATCTAACATCATGAATAAATTCATCAAATATATTTTAATAGAAAATCAACCTTGGATCTGTTTATGAGATCAAAAATCCAGATAAAGCTTTTTCTAAATAACTCAGAATCCTTATTATCTTTAGTTCAATGCTTTTTCATCTTAAAGCTACCTAAAAAATAAAAGGAAAAAATTAATAGTAACATTATTGCACAACTTTTTTGTTTGATCAACATCAGTTAACAGCAAAGTATTTATTACTGAAACAAGGATTATTATTTTTTTTTGTATCAATTTTTCTTATAAAAAGTATGGAGGAATATTTTACCTCCTTCATCCCCTCCTTAAAGGAGCTAAAAGCTACGCCTCTTACAAAGTGCAGCAGTGCTGCTGATTTAGACATATTACCCATTTTCTATTAAGCACTGTGGTGCATGTCAATTGAATGACAGCTTCCTACAGACCAACATCTATGTTTGTTGTTGAGCGCTGTAGGATCAGCATCTAATTTTTCAGGTGTGGAGGCCAGGAGTAAAAGCCACAGTTACGCTGCTCTTTGGTTCACAGCTCTACCGTATGAACACTGTGGAGGCTCCACGCAATCTGTCACACTCAGGTTCTAATGGCGGCCTCTGAGGCGGGCCCTCTGACTAAAGCCCATCTGGCCCCAAAATGGCTGCAACTGCTTATAGCACAGAAAAAAACAGGTGAATCCAGGTTGAGACAACATTTACATGCAAATTAGGTTTATTAAGGCACCAAAATGAAAACGTTGGAGTTACAAATGAATGAAATTGAAGCTACGTGTGAAGTAGAAGTTAAGAAAACAGAAGTAAACAAAGAGAGATGAAGTTGAAAAAATGCATTTAGTCACTCTGTAGACATTTCTGATTATGATGCACTTCATACAGAGCACAGGAAATCTGATGATGGTTGGAGCTTTATCCAGTCATAGTAGCTGCAATAAGAAGGTCACAGAAAAGTCATTAAACTCTAGCAGCAAAACTTTCCGACTGAAGAAGACAAAATATCAACAATTCACTCCTTTAAAATTCTAAGACTGTAAAAAGATCCCAATAGAAAAAAGGGATAGTTTTCTCATTCCTCTTTCTAAATGGATAAACTTGCTAAATCTGTAATTTCAGGGTTCCTACAGTGTGGTAAAGGGTAGTTAATCGAATTTATTTAAATGTAACTATTTACAGAAGGACCTAAACTGACACTGATTGGTTCTGCTGGATGATCTGTTGTGCAAAATGCAGTGTTTGACCTCTTATATCTTGGTACTAGTGAGTCATTTTATGCCTCACAATGAAAAAATGTAAGATGTCACAACTTTGGCTTACTGTAAAACTTGATGAGTTAGTTGAACTGAAATGATTTGAGGAAGCCGACTGCCTTAAACCATTTATTAACTCAAACTGTTAGGCTGAATAGTAAAATCCATTTAAAAACATTTCATTTTTTGTTAAATTAATGGAGGAATGAACATTCCAATAAACAATTTTGTTCTGTAAAATGAAATTAAGACCTGAATGATTTTTTCTTCAGTTTATGTAACAGTTGGACTTACTAGTACAGAGCCTTGTGGACATAAGTGGGACATTCAAAGTCTAGCATGGAAATTATTTCATTATACAATCCTGCAATTGTATTGCTGTATCAACCTTGATTTTAATTACATGTGGCTCCATGAAGAGCATCTGATGAAGATAATGCAGCTTTTTAGCCTTTCATAGTGTTTAAATAATAACTCGCACATGAAACACATGATCTGCAGAAAAGATCCATGACTTTCAGAGTGGATTAAATCATATTCATGCAAAAAATACTGCAGAGAACTTCCAACTGATTGAATATGGATTTTGGTACAAGGAGCGGGTAAAGCTCATATTTCAGCTAAACTCTACGAGAAACAAAAAAAAGTTAGAAAAACAAACAAACTTTGTTTTTTCTTTATCTGAAGAAGTCCATCTTAGGATTGTTTTCTGGGGATAAGATGATGTCACACAGTAGCTTTTTACTGTGAACTCTTGACACAAAGATTTTAAAATAATGGATAGACAGAGGTGAGTAGAGCACACAAAAATCTTACTTAAGTAAATATACCGGTATAACAATTAATTTATCATATTTTTATTCAAGTAAAAAGTAGCCTTTTAAGAAATTACTTATGCAAGAGGGAAAAAAATAATTGTAAAATGGCTACTCAAGTACTGAGTAACTGATCTACTTATTACTCATGATCATAACAACAGATTTAAGATTTGAGTTATAAAACAATAAAAAAATCAATAGTTACAGTATGTAGAAAAGTTTAAATTACAGTATACTGTTTGCTGTCTTATCACTAATAAGAAATAGGAAAATAAGAAAGTGTATCTTTGTGGTGCATATGGTGCAATGGTGCATATTTGGTGAAAATAAGCTTGTTTTCATTAAACTCACAAAGGGTGGAGTAGCCAGAATTTTTACTCAAGCAAGAATAGTGATCATTTATCGAATGTTTGCTCATGTAAAAAAAAAAAAAAAAGTACAAGGCTTTAAATCTACTCCTTAAAGTACATAAACAAAAGTTGCTCATGTTAATGTAACTGAGTAAATGTAACTAGTTACTACCCACCTCTGAGGATAGATAAAGAACAAAGATGCCTGTTTTATGGCACATTTATGTTGTTTTATTTAACTAAGAAAAAGAAAAAGCCTCAAGGTAAGAAATAAAAGTCATAAGAAGCTGGTCGCCCACCCTGAACCTGGAATTGTATTGAAGCAGCTTTTTTGAAGCAGAGTTTCAGCTCTGAATCTTCTTTAGAAGTATTACTCATCAAATATTTTAAGTTGATATTTTTTCCCCACTCTGCTTCGTATGCTTAAATGTAAATCAAAGCATACCACAATGAAGTTTGCAAAGCGACCCAAGGTTTGAATGGCTTGTTTATATTCTTCCTTTTGCTCATTTAATATCATGCAGGATCAAGTTTGCATTTTATGACAGGAACACCTAAAATTATTTATTATGTTGTTGTTGGGCTGCACAGGGGTAGGCTGCTGCCTTGCAGCAAGAAAGTCCTTCGTTTGATTCTCAGCTTGTGTTTTTTCTGCCTGAAGTTTACATGTTCTCCTCATGCATGCGGGTGTTCCCTCTGGGTACTCCCACTACTTCCCACAGTTCAAAACATGACTGTTAGGTTAACTGCTCTCTAACTTTTCCTTAGTGTCTTTAACATTTCAGTCTGTGTTTTCTTGTGATGGTTTAGAGAGCTGTCCAGGGCGCACCCCACATCTCACTTAATAACCGCCTAGATAGGGGCACTGGCCCCCCCAACCCAGGCAAGGATAAAGAAATAAATGATAGTTGGACCTGCCATTGAAACAGAGGTTTTTACTGTGAGCTCTGGGCACAGAAAAAAAGTACCCGATAGATACAAAGTGATCAGTGATTCCTATTTCTTTTTGTAACTGTCTAATGTTCATTAGAATACAGTTTATTGTATTTTACCAAAAGCCTGTGTTGATTTTTGTTTATCATGCACAGTTACCAGGCTATAAGATCCATAAGAGGTTTGACAGTTACCTGTACAGTTTCTGATTATCTCCAATATCATCATTCTTTTTTAAATCATTTAGGTCTCTTTTATAGGTCATACATTAAAACTACAGAGCTCTTTGTCTGCTTTCACCCACCATGCCACTCAGAGATGTGTTTTCAGATAGTGGTAAAAAAATCAGAATGTACTGAAAGAACATCTCTCCTAAATGAGCTCATAAGGTGGCAATGTTTGAGCTACACAAAGTTTTCAATGTTGTTGAACTCACCATAACATAAATAATCCACCTCCAGGTACTTGTAGGTTCCAACACAGGGATCTCCAAATACAGAATTGGTTGCTCTAAGCTTACACGCCCGCCTCCCGTTGCATCTGTGGATTCAGATCAATGTCATTTCAAAAAAAATATACATCAGCCCTTTTTGAGACACCCTTATTCTCTAATTTATATGCATCCAATATGGTGAAAGGAATAATGGGTAATGCAGCTGTCTTTTAGAAAAGACTGAGCATCTATACCTCTTAGCCACTTTGTCTGAGCTGCTGGAGCACTGGGTGTTCTTTAACTGCCCTTCAGGTCGCCCAGTGGAGCAGGTTTTCTGGTCACGGCGTCCATATGTGGCTCTGCTCACATATATACCCTCACCTTTACCTGAAGGAGAATAAATGAGATGATGGAGAGGCAGAGACAGTTCTCAATCTGTTGATGGTGTAATGCTCCACAAGAAACCAATAAACCCAGTGATCTTACCACATAGGAGTTTAGCCCCTTTTCCCTCACATACCACAGCGGTTGCATTCTGGAGTCTTCTTTCAGGCACTGTCATATCAGCAAAAAAAACAAACAAATGTTTTGTTTATATCCTTTATTCCTCTCCTTAAATATAGAATACATTTACCTAACCTTCTATAGTTATGCTGCTATAGGCTTAGACTGCTGGAGGACATAGAGACCTCTTTTCATCACTGTGCTTCATTCTACCCCCATTCTCCCACTCTGCAGAATTTGTTAGTTCAATCTCTTCCATTATGTTCTCTCTGCTTTTTCTCATTACAGTAGCTTTATCTGGTCTACTCCTGTTTGGCTTTGACACCACCTTGGATTGAAATATCAGCTGTGCTGCTGCCTTTAACACCTTTGTTTATAGATGTTGGAGCTTGACCTGTTTTTTCAGTGTAGTCCTGTTTCTATGACTGTGACTAACTGTATGTGCTCTCCTTCATCCTCTGACATGGGAGCTGGCTCAGAGCTCAAATTCACCATTATGGGGTGTCAACCAACAGGTCAGATGGGACTTCGACATATTTACCCACCGGAATCCTGCTGTTCTGTCAGATTATCTAGAGCCATGTGTTAAAAGAAGACACAAAGGAAAATGTATGGTTGCTTTTTTTTTTAACCTAAACTGACTAAATCTGACATGGAGCTTGATCCTCCCTACTGGTTTTGTACATTTCTGGTTAAGTGAGTTAGGAGCAATTTTTATCTTGTTTTTTGCAGCATTTTTTCTTTTTTGCATGACTTTTCTGTATGGCTTTTTATTTTTGTGTGTTTTTGAGTTTGTATCATCCATGTGCTGTGCTTTTAATTAATTAATGTTTGCACCTGTTGACCACCGTAATCCGGATTTGTTTTATAAATCACTATTTTCTAGAGAGAAATGGAGCTATTTTTATCTAAATAACCAAAAATCTAAAACATTATTTTCATTAAATCACCTGATGTAATAACTAATATGGTTTCTACTGTGAGAAAAAAATTACATTTTTGTTCTCTAACAAATCTTTTTCGGTTGAATACTTCCATCATCAGGGTGCTTCCTATAAAGTCTTGTTTTTTTCTCTACAGCAGCCCTTATCAGCATTAAGAGCCATGAATGTTCTATTTCTTCATGTTTGGCTGCGTTTCTTTTTAGCCCCCTTTACTATAAAACTACTAAAGTAAGTTAAGCCAAGTGCTAACAATCGCTAATTTCTAATGGAATAGACTTAGACTTAAAATGTTACATTTTATAAAAAGTCCAAAGAGAAAACATTTAATTCTGGTAGTAATAGGAAACAATGCACAGAAATTCAGACAGTATGCATATTTTGCAAAGTGTTTAAATCCACTTTAAGCATTGTAAAGTTTTTCCACTTCTGATTACCTTCACATGTATACTCCACCTCCAGGTACTTGTAGGTTCCAACGCACGGATCTCCGAACACAGAGTTGGATGCTTTAAAATTACACCACCGCCTCCCGTTGCAACTGAGGATTTAGATGAATTATGTTTAAACTGTGATCAGGCCCTTTCTTAGAGTTTCTCATTATCTCGTTTCTATACTTCCAATTTGGGCAAATTAATGATCATTCAGCCCACCTTTAGAAAATATTGAGCATCTGTACCTCTTAGCCACTTTGTCTGAGCTCATGGAGCACTGGGTGTTCTTTAACTGCCCTTCAGGTCGCCTAATGGAGCAGGTTTTCTGGTCACGGCGTCCATATGTGGCTCCACTCACAGATATGACCTCCCCTTTGCCTGACAGAGAAGAAAGGAGATGTTGAAGAGGCAGAGATAGTTTTCAATCTGTTTATGGTGTAATGTTCCCCAGCCAACCAATAAACCCAGAGATCTTACCACATCGGAGTTTAGCTACTCTTCCCTCACATGCCAAGGCCGAGTCTTTCTGGGAGATGCATTCCGGTTCTGTCATATGAGAGATTCAGATACATTAATGACTCTTTCAGGACCCTGAACAGCTCATATCAGCTTAGCGATGGACCTGAGAGGGAAAGCCCTGCCCTGCGTGGTTTCATTAGTGTTTAAAACACTGAGGGGGAAAGTGGAGCAGGTTCAGCAGCACTTTCAGCTCTACAAGTCGTGTGTGTTTTTCATGTTTGATTTGGTGTATTGGTTAACAGAAACATTTAAACAACGGCCTAGTTAAAAAAAAAATGCTCAAAAAATTAAAATTTTAAGGCTAATAAAGTAATAATTATTAAATTAAATATGAAAAAATTTAAACATTTATTTTTAAATATAATCCTTTTATCTTTCACATATAATTCAAATAATTTCCAGCTCTCCCTAATAATATTTTTGAAATGTTCACATTAAAATTTAACATAAAAATGCAGCATTGTAAAAGTACAGTATAGTAGTATAGTATAGTATAGATGTCTAAACAATTTTTAAGAGAAACCAGCTTGCCATATTTCCAGTATGTTCTTATTATAAAAAGGCACTTTTATTCAACAGAAAAGCGGTAACAGAATTAAAAACTATCCCCGCTATCAATACCTTTGCTCACAGAGGGGATCATGCAGGGAGGAGCTGCTGTAACAACTTTCTAATATGGTAACAATCTTTTTTTTTTCCTCAGGAAATGTATGTTAATAAACCAATGTTGCATCACATGATCTCAACTGTCACTGAGCTAAACCTCACTGAGGTGGTCTGGGATGATTTGGAGAGCAGATGCAGGTAAATCCACCTGATGATCCAACTATTCTCTCATTGAATTTGTTAACAAAATGAAAATCATAATTTACCTGTCTTCTTCTCACATGTGTACTCCACCTCCAGGTACTTGTAGGTTCCCTGACAGGGATCTCCAAACTCAGAGTTGTCAGCTTTAAAATCACATTGCTGCTTCCCGTTGCATCTGTGGATTCAGATCAATGTCAGTTTAAGTTGTAGACATGTTCTGCAAATGAGATTAATCAAACCCCAAAACAATCCACTTTAAATCCAGGATGTGAGGAAAGAAAATATGGTGAAAGCCAAAAGGAGGCAATCATGTTTGCAAAGCACTGTATGGCTAGCCTTTGAAAAAGACTGAGCATCTTTACCTCTCAGCCACTTTGCCTGAGCTGCTGGAGCATTTGATGTTCTGTAACTGCCCTTCAGGTCGCCCAGCGGAGCAGGTTTTCTGGTCACGGCGTCCATATGTGGCTGTGCTCACAGATATAAACTCATCTTTGCCTGACAGAGAAGAAAGGAGATGTTGGAGAGGCAGAGATAGTTCTGGATCTGTTGAATGTGTAATGCTCCACAACCAACCAATAAACCCAGAGATCTTACCACATTGGAGTTGAGCCACTGATCCCTCACATGCAACAGTGGGAGATTTTTGCGGGGAGCTTCTTTCAGGTTCTGTCATATGAGAGATTCAGATTCATTAATGACTCTTTCAGGACCCTGAACAGCTCATATCAGCTTAGCGATGGACCTGAGAGGGAAAGCCCTGCCCTGCATGGTTTCATTAGTGTTTAAAACACTGAGGGGGAAAGTGGAGCAGGTTCAGCAGCACTTTCAGCTCTACAAGTCGTGTGTGATTTTCATGTTTATCTTGGTTTATTGGTTGAAGGCGGATGTCTCCAGCTGCAAATAAAACATGGATCCTGATGAGGACCATGGCTGACATGTTTTCTAACAGCAAAGAAAACATACTATGGTCTGTAAACATCACTAAGTCCTCTGCTCATATTGTACAACTCTGACATTAAAACTGTTGGAACTAAAGCAGTTCATTTGGTCATAGTTTTAGAAAGGTGATCAACAATAACCCACATTAGCTTATTAGATATGTGCAATTTTTCCCTGTAGTCTATTGGCAGCTTTTAGAATATGTCTAATATAAAAGAGGAGGTAAAATAACTAAATGATAGCTGGAGGCAGCTTTGATTATCCTGGAAAACCTGATCTCCACAAACTTGGTTTCTTTTCTGAGAATCACCGAGGCTACAGGGTTGGATCAGATCCTACCAAGGCCAGGGGCTAACAGGGACATGTGGCCCCTCTGCTAGACTCGTGTGACAATATGTTTTAGCCCTTTTTATATTGTAAGAAATGAGATGGAAGTCTGATATTCAGTTAATCCTGCATAGATATCGATAATATTCTTCAAATAAAGCAGTGATGTACACATGTATAATTTGTTTTCTTTTAATTAAAAGAAAATAAATGACAAAAATATGTGTTGGAAATTTGTTCTAACTTTTCTTTATTACAAACCAGCTTGCCATATTTCTAGTAACAGGCTGTTTTACAGTAAAGGCACTTTTATTCAACAGAAAAGCTGTGATGAAAAAAATAACTTTGCCTACTAGGATTGGCTTTACTCAGAGGGGATCCTGCAGAGAGCATCTTTTAGCTTTTGTCATCTGTAACATCTTTCTAAAATAATAACTCTTTCTGTTTTTCTCAGGTAATGTTTGTTAATAAACCAATGTTGCATCACATGATCTCCACTATCACTGAGGTAAACCTCACTGAGATGGTCGGGGATGATTTGGAGATTCGATGGAGGTAAATCCACCTGATGAGCTCTCAGTGCTTTTGGAAACTCCTTAAAAGCTGCATGGAGCTGCTTGGAGAGGGAAGTTTCCAGTTTGGTCAATCTAAAGTTTTTCACCTCTACTTGATAATACAATCGTAATTCTCTGATTGAATTTGTTAACAAAATGAAAATCATCATTTACCTGTCTTCTTCTCACATGTGTACTCCACCTCCAGGTACTTGTAGGTTCCCTGACAGGGATCTCCAAACTCAGAGTTGTCAGCTTTAAAATCACATTGCTGCTTCCCGTTGCATCTGTGGATTCAGATCAATGTCAGTTTAAAGTTGTAGACATGTTCTGTAAATGAGATTAATCAAACCCCAAAACAATCCACTTTAAATCCAGGATGTGAGGCAAGAAAATATGGTGAAAGCCAAAAGGAGGCAATCATGTTTGCAAAGCACTGTATGGCTAGCCTTTGAAAAAGACTGAGCATCTTTACCTCTCAGCCACTTTGTCTGAGCTGCTGGAGCATTTGATGTTCTGTAACTGCCCTTCAGGTCGCCCAGCGGAGCAGGTTTTCTGGTCACGGCGTCCATATATGGCTCTGCTCACAGATATAAACTCATCTTTGCCTGACAGGGAATAAAGGAGATGTTGGAGAGGCAAAGTCTCTTGATGGTGTAATGCTCCACAACCAACCAATAAACCCAGAGATCTTACCACATTGGAGTTGAGCCACTGATCCCTCACATGCAACAGTGGGAGATTTTTGCGGAGAGCTCTTTTTAGGTTCTGTCATATGAGAGATTCAGATACATTAATGACTGTTTCAGGACCCTGAACAGCTCATATCAGCTTAGCGATGGACCTGAGAGGGAAAGCCCTGCCCTGCGTGGTTTCATTAGTGTTTAAAACACTGAGGGGGAAAGTGGAGCAGGTTCAGCAGCACTTTCAGCTCTACAAGTATTTCACGATTTCTGCATTTTTATTAACTTTCCAAAATAATGAAAGCCCTTGTTGCTTTTCTCAGGTAATGTTTGTCAATAAACCAATGTTGCATCACATGATATCCACCGTAGCTGAGCTAAACCTCACTGAGATGGTTTGGGATGATTTGGAGAGCAGATGGAGGTAAATCAATCTAATAAGCAAAGCTACATGGAGCGGGTTGGAGAGTTTTCAACCATCATTTAATTATCTTTTTTGTTCTCATTAAGATTTCTAAACAAAAATAAAGATGATAAATTACCTTCACACGTGTACTCCACCTCCAGGTACTTGTAGGTTCCAAAACAGGGATCTCCAAACTCAGAGTTGTCAGCTTTAAAATCACATTGCTGCTTCCCGTTGCATCTGTGGATTCAGATCAATGTCAGTATAAAGTTGTAGACATGTTGTGTAAATGAGACCAATCAAACCCCAAAACTAGGGATGCACGATATTGGGATTTTGGCCGATATCCGATATGCCGATATTTTAAAACTCATGTAGCCGATAACCGATATCGATACCGATGTTAAAGCTGGACAAAAACAAGTAGTCATTGAAAATAGCAGTTTTGTTATCCATTTCTGACACTTTTTAAAATAATATACTCAAATATATTTTCATATGCTGATATCAAATTGATTTTTAAAAACGCCGTATCGATCTATTTTACTTTCAAAATCTCGTGAAATTTCATCGTTCTGTTACAAACTCTCGTGATATTTTGCAAATTCTTGTGAGATTTTGTTAGTAAAATAGATCGATACCGCGTCAATATATCAACATATAAAAATATGGCAAAATTTCGTGAATTTTCGGGGGATTCGTAGCATAACGATGACATACAGCAATATTTCATTAGTAAAAGAGATTGATATGGTGTTTTTAAATGGCAATATATCAGCATATGAAGATATTGTGATATTTTAATGTATCAATATTTTTTCCCTCGTCTTTAGAAGTTTTTAAGTCTGTAAAAAATAAGTTTTTGAGGAAGAAGAAGAAGTAGTATTTATTTATTTATTTTTTTTAGACTTTAGAAACTCAGAAGCTGATCAAATATCGGGTTAAATATCAGTGGGGTGGCCGATGTCCGATATTCAGTTTTAAGGCCGATACAGGCCGATACCGATAGGGGGCCGATTATATCGTGCATCCCTACCCAAAACAATCCACTTTAAATCCAGAATGTAACGCAAGAAAATATGGTGAAAGCCAAAAGGAGGCAATCATGTTTGCAAAGCACTGTATGGCTAGCCTTTGAAAAAGACTGAGCATCTTTACCTCTCAGCCACTTTGCCTGAGCTGCTGGAGCATTTGATGTTCTGTAACTGCCCTTCAGGTCGCCCAGCGGAGCAGGTTTTCTGGTCACGGCGTCCATATGTGGCTGTGCTCACAGATATAAACTCATCTTTGCCTGACAGGGAAGAAAGGAGATGTTGGAGAGGCAAAGTCTGTTGATGGTGTAATGCTCCACAACCAACCAATACACCCAGAGATCTTACCACATTGGAGTTGAGCCACTGATCCCTCACATGCAACAGTGGGAGATTTTTGCGGAGAGCTCTTTTTAGGTTCTGTCATATGAGAGATTCAGATACATTAATGACTCTTTCAGGACCCTGAACAGCTCATATCAGCTTAGCGATGGACCTGAGAGGGAAAGCCCTGCCCTGCGTGGTTTCATTAGTGTTTAAAACACTGAGGGGGAAAGTGGAGCAGGTTCAGCAGCACTTTCAGCTCTACAAGTCTTTTATGATTCCTGCATTTGTATTAACTTTCCAAAATAATGAAAGCCCTTGTTGCTATTCTCAGGTAATGTTTGTTAATAAACCAATGTTGCATCACATGATCTCCACCGTCGCTGAGCCAAACCTCACTGAGATGGTTTGGGATGATTTGGAGAGCAGATGGAGGTAAATCAATCTAATAAGCAAAGCTACATGGAGCGGGTTGGAGAGTTTTCAACCATCATTTAATTATCTTTTTTGTTCTCATTAAGATTTCTAAACAAAAATAAAGATGATAAATTACCTTCACATGTGTACTCCACCTCCAGGTACTTGTAGGTTCCAAAACAGGGATCTCCAAACTCAGAGTTGACAGCTTTAAAAACACATTCCTGCTTCCCGTTGCATCTGTGGATTCAGATCAATGTTTCAGATCAAAGTTTCTATAAAATCTGATCAGGCCTTTCCTTGAGGACCTGGACTCCCTTATTCACTCACACACATTTACTTACTATCTAGTTGATCTAGAGAGTAGTTAACAGGGTGAATAATTGTTTTTTTTTCTAGATCCCAGCCTGTAAGTTAACAATTTCCTAATCTTAAAATATATGATCTATACAAAAAACAATGTTTTGAGGTAAAATGAGATCATATAAGAAAAGGAATATATATATATATATAAAACAAAAAGAAAGGTAAAACAATGGCTATGGAGCCATTAATACTTTCTGGTTAAGCTGATTACCTTCAATAATCACATCATTAGTGTAATGAAGATAAAGTTTAAGAGTTACATGATATGTCTGTAGAAACTCATCCTTTCTGAAAGATCCCAGAGAGTGCACCGCCTCTCAGCAAGAAGCACCACACCATAATAATCCAGAAGCTCTCCAAACAAGTCATAGTAAAAAATGTTGAAATGTACAAGCCAGGGTGGGATTAGAATCCCACTCCAAACTATTAACTCAACTCCAGTGGAATAATTACAAACATTTTAGAATATGTTGGAATGGCCAAGTCAAAGTCCAGACCTGAGTCCAAATGAGAATCTGTGGTTAGATTTATGGATCATAGTTTTACCAAATAAGACCACCAACATGAAGGAGCTGGAGGACTTTTTTCTTAAGCAAAGGGGAAAAATCCCAGTGGCCAGAAGTGTTGACGTCACTGAGAGCGATGCAAAGTGACTGCAGCTCTAATTGCTGCAAAGCGAGACTTTACAAAGTACTGATGTGGGGGGGATGGGGGGTGAAGAGTAATGCAGAGTGAAGTTTGTGTCTTTGGTCTTATTGTTCTTCATGAAAAATTAAAAAATGCATCAATGTGAAGATTTATAAAAACATAATAGGTAATTTTTCTTAAAATAAGTGCATTTTGTCTTAAATTGATGAGGTGAGACAGATTGCCAATGGAACAAGACAGTTTACTTTTAAAATGAGAAATAAAAAACAATTGCATTGTCTTATTTCAAGGGCATATTATTTAATTATCTTGTTTTAAATGTAACAATACTCGTTCCAATGGAAAATTATCTTATTTACCTACATAAATTAAGGGTAAATACCCTTAATTTAAGAATTCTTCACTTATTTCTAGATTCTTTTTGCAGTGATGTAACCTTACAGACCCAAATCCAGGAGACAAATACCAAGTTGGGGGGCAAATACTTTTGTGAGACACTTTATAAAAGACTGAGCATCTTTACCTCTCAGCCACTTTGTCTGAGCTCCTGGAGCATTTGATGTTGCTTATCTGGTTGGCAGGTTTTCCAGAGGAACATGTGTTTCTGTCAAGGCGTCCATATGTGGCTCTGCTCACAGAAATAACCTGACCTTTGCCTGACAGAGAAGAAAGGAGATGCTGGGAAATTAAAACACCTCTATGGGTTTTAATGCTCCAATGAAGCAGAGACAACAAACCCAGTGATCTTACCGCACTTAAGCTGAGCCTCTGATCCTTCACACGCCACACTTTGAATCTTCTGGGAGCCGGCTGCAATTTAAAGGCTTATTTATTAGGTGAAAACATGTTTAAGTGTATTTAGATCTGATCACGATGATGAAAGGTTGTGTCATGATTCATTTTCAATTTTTTGCACACTAAAACGTCTTTTTACCTGAATTTATCAGCAAACAGGTTACTGCCAAAACTGAAAGAGAGAAAAACCCTTAAATCTGAGAAAAAAAAAAAATAAATAAAAAACTTTCACATTTAATAAAATGTGTCTGGTTTTTCTAACAAGCTCAATGTTTTGCAGCATTTAGTGGAAATAGTTTCTGATATGATAAATACTATTTTATCTTCATTCAGGCTTTACTCCAGAAAATATATATTTATGGTTGAGTGCATAAAGTCTGCTGCTAAAATCCTTTTGTTTGGTGTAATGACTAAAAACTATGAACCATTTCTGACCAAAAGAGTTTCATTTGGGACCAAAAAAGCTAATTAAAGTTGTTAATTATTTTGTTTTTCATCTGGTTTTGTTGACAACTGATCCCTACAATTGTACCACTGTTGTTATTGAGTAGGTTTAAATGTATTTATTTATTAAAGAATTTAGTTTGAATTCAACAGGGTTGTGAACTTGTACCACTGCACATAAACATTTTTTTTTTTTAATCAAGACTGTGAATCAGAATCTTTATTGGTCAAAGACTGGTACAGAAACTTGGAATTTAACCTTAGTTTCTATCCCTCAAATTGTAAAAAAAAAAAAATCATTTTTAAATATAAATAAAGAAACTTTAGAGGGAAAACAGTGTAGATAAGCAGCAGGGTACGATCAAATTACGATAAACACTCTGTTTTTGGTTGATTTGGCTGCCAAACTATTTTCTATCTGGTAAATAATTTGCTTTTTTTGAGCACCTTAAATTAATTAGTAAAGGGTTTCGTCCCAGCAAAGCAAGAACTGCAAAGACTTCAAAGAAAGAGACAGGTTTAAATTGGTTGAGTACTTACAGAACGTGGAGCCAAGCATGATGAAGTGCGAAATAGATGCTGGATGACTCTGGAAGAGGATATTTATGCTGTTTGCTGCGCCAACTGGGAACCCATAGGAAAAAAATAAACCCAGGCCTGTAGGATGAAATCCATCCAGTCACCATGCGTCACTCACTCCACCAAAACAAACTTCTCGGTTAATCTGAGATGACACGCAGTAGCTTGCTGTTGTTTTAAGTACCATTTCCAAAGCCACATATCTGCTTTCATCACCAGGTACAGGTGTAAACTCAATGGGAATAGAAAAGGATGCTTTGCTGCAACTCTGCAAAGTTCTCCACACCTGTGGAAGTGGTAAAATCGCAATGAGAGGATCAGAAAAACATTTTAAAAATCCACCAGGGAGCCTCCCTGAAGAGTTTTAAATGGACCTTTAGTTTGTACAGAGAGGAAAAACGAATTTACATTTTACTTTGTGAATATCTTAATATTTATTTATGTAATAAATACAAGGAACATCCATGTGACCCAACTTGTTTCATTGTTTTCTTATCAAGCACTTTGTAATTTCTGTATTTTGGCATCAGAACAAGCTTTTTGCCATTATAATTATTCTTCATTAAACTTTCTTAAAATATATTTTCTTCTTTTCCCAGAGTTTCAGGGGAAAAAATATAAAAGATAAATAAAAAATATTAGAAAAATATTAGGATCCTCTGGAAGGAGAAATGCAGTTTAATGCATAAATGGTTCATCACAGGTTGTAATTTTTGTCATTTTAATTAAAAAAATTTTCGTTTGGTGTAAAATTGTCACAGATTAACCTCGCAGCTGTTCTTTAGATATGGAGCTATGTGTTCTGCATCAAATCTACCCTGCATCCCACAACTAGAACAAAAGGTAGAATTCATTTATTTTGCTTTACATATCTGGAGAAAAAAAAAGCAAAATCCCTAAAATAATTTAAATTAGGTTTATAAACCTGTTTGATTAGATAGTTCACTTTTAAAAGCACTTTATTATATTGTTTCGTAGATCTCTTTGTTTGTCTTTTTTAATTGTGTTATATTTTAAGCCTACATGTGCAGGAACTGGTTGCAGCTGTAGTTGTTTTAGTAGTAGGAGTATTCTATTTAAACTGTCAACTGAAGGATATCTATATCTGTTTTCTTTCTCATGTTAATGACTTAAGGGGATCCTTTTATGAAATGTAATGTCTAAATACACTTGCCCTGCCTTTACAGTAAACACAGCAGTGTGGAAGGAAGTCACACCACCTGAATGTATTTGCATTTTTTTCCTTTTCAGCTTTTGAAAAAAAAACTGTTTAGGTTTAATATGGATTTGCAGATTTATATAACTGTAAATTAATCTGAAACCTAATATCACACAATTAATATACAATTAAATTGAATTAACTTTAGAGATTGAGGTTTAACCACATTTGGGGATTAAAATATTTTTTTTGTTTACTTCCAGTCTGTCTCCTGCTGCAGTACATAGCTGTCTATCCAGTCCAAACAAGAGCAAAAAGTGGCAACTCCCAAATTATAATCTATTCCTGTTATGTATTAAGTGGAGAAGAAAGTCTCTGTTTATCTTATTTTACATCTTCCAGCCTCTGCAAACATATTATTTCATGATCTGTGGCCTTTAAAAACCCAGCATGTTAGAGGTCAGGGCAGTACATGTCAAACTTTGACTAGGCCATTTAGACTTTTTTGACCCATACAGCTTCAGATGTTGTCTTGTTGTTGTAAATTTTCTTTTATTGGCTGTTTTCGAGAGAATTCCTGGTTTCATCTACAACAGCAGTCGTGCAGACCTTGATCATCACACCACCACCTCCATATATAGCTGTAGGTTTGATTCTGTGGTGGTTTAACCCTATAATGCCAAATGTATCATATTTGATACATACGGTTTCTGAAATGTTTTGCGTCTGACAACTTTTGCATAATTTAATGGTAAAAACTTTGCTCAAAATTCTATTTTACACAATCAGATATACCTGATAACAGAGGGCAGAAGACTACACAAAAAAAATCTTGACTTATCGCATAGTAATAAATTATTAATATCAAAAATGTATTTCTGTTTTTTTCTTTATACATATTTTGTTAAAAGGGCAAATAAGGACTTCAAACCAAAAAAAAGTAATTTCCTGTTTTGTTTTATTCTTGGATCAGGCTTCAAAGGGTTAAGACCATATGAAGTAAGATTCATGAATTTCCGAAAGTTTAACTTTTGTCCATGTTGAAGATCAAAGGTCAATGACAAAGTGAGAGTGAATTTCATCACACGGACAGAAATCCACAAGTTAGGAAAATGAAATGTGTCGTTGATCCCTAAAGGGAAGCTCCTCTTTGAAGTATTTTTATTTGACTGAATAGATTTGTTTTTAAGAAAATGGAAATGTTTATGTTACAGCCAGGCACATGCAGGGGCACTGTGTTGCCATAGGAACGACTGCTTTACCTTTCCGTTGCAAGGTCCCATTCATGTTTATTCCCCCGCATACAATCCAGGCATCTTCCACCGCTGTGAGTGTGACTTCATGGGGAGTGATACTTGATAGTTAAGGGTTAGTGGTTGAGGGGCAGTTTGGGATTCAACCCTGGCGTTTTTTTTAGATAACCCATTTCACTCCAGTGCTGCTACATTTTAATGCATCTCTGACTCATTGTTAATTATTCACTGCAAACCGAATTAAGCTACAGTTTAAAAACAGATCTCTGCATCAGTTTTTATTCACATTTATCTTCTATTTTAAAGGACACTTTAAATGCATTAACCTTTAACAACCTGAAGAGGCTCTCAACGGACCCTTGGGCTCCCGTTTTGTTAGCTATTCATTTACTCCTGCTTATTTTCAGTAGTCTTTGCAGTAATTTGACAGATTAATACTGTAACAGGGATTATTAGCCAATAAAGGTACAAATATGTCCACCTATGGTAGTCTGTGATTATTGTTAGGTTTATTCAATGATGATTATAAAATGAATGTGTGCTTATAAAACATTTGTACGAGGGGATGCTCCTCCTGTCTCATGATTCAGTCAGGAGACCATCCTGCCTTGTCATTCTGATGGAGCATTCTGTCTTTATGAACTGATCAATTGTTCTGTCAGAACAATACTCTGTTTGTAACCATGTGTCATGTTCTGTTAATAAAACACTCTGTGGAGGAGGTCCAGTGGGAGACAGTGTGTTTGAGTCTGGGGTTCAACTGTCTCTCCTTTCTGCAGAAATTGTATCCATTACTGTGTATTTCAGTTCTTCTTTTGCAAACCTACATTTATGAACACGAAATTTTTTTATAGAGTGAATGATTTTATCACTTAGAGCCAAATCCACTCTTTTTGTTTATTACTTAGAGAAAGCATCAACCCTGCTGATAATCATAGTATAAATCACTAAATTAGTAAAATACAACTGGATTTTAACAGCTCCTCCAGAATTCCGACCTTGGGTAGAAGACCAAACAGCCTTGGTAAATTAGCAGATTTCAGTTATAATCATTTAAGTAATAATAATTGGTTTATCCCTCAATTTAAAAAACCACTTAACTACACTTCCAGTTCTATTCATTTAGTTATATTCACAATCCTCTGGTAAAATTACACAACAGATAAGTCTGAGGCGTCATTCCCTTAGCAAAAAGTAGTTTATTCAAGTATTCTAAAAGTGCACTAATTTCATACTTAAAATCAGGCAGTGCACTTAGAGTTTACCTATTCTAAACTATATTTAATACACTTAATAATATAGTCAAGTGTACTTGACTATATTATTATTATACTCTTAGTATACTTTAGTAAACTTAAAAATATCCCAATTTAGTTCGAAGAAGTATAAGTTTAGTACCGGTAATACTTCCAAGTACACTAAAAGTACATTGTTCGGTATACTTTATCATTAACATGCTTTTACTTTTTTTTTTATATATCTGAATAAGTCCTTTTTGGGTCAACATTGGTTCTTGACCTGGATTTCTCCCATAGAGGCCACTGTTGTCCAGTGTCTCTTATTGTCAAGTCATGAAATCTTACCTTAAATGCGGCAGCGAGGCCTGCAGAGATCTAGATGCCATTTTTGTGTTTTCCTGAATGAGCTTTCCATGAGCTCTGAGTAAATGTAGTAAACCAGCCTCTTCCGTGAAGCTTCTAGTTTTATGTTGTCTTAAAGATGATGGACTTTGTTTCTCATTTCTTTACGCTGGGGCTGGTGTGTTGATTTTAGTCCTTGTCATGCCATCAGACAGCTTCTATTTAGGTAAACTCTTGATTCTATAGATCTAGCAGTCTTTGGGGTGTTGCTGATCAAATCTAACAGATAATAAACCAAGAGTATACAAAGTTAATGAGTTGCAAAAGGAGGCCATTACTAGTTTACCTTGGATACAAGATTTCACTTAATGTTTAACAATTTAAAGTTTGTAAAGATCAACGACAGCTTGTTTGGTTTAAGCAAACAGCTTAGTTGACATATCGTTTACAGTCTTGCATGAATACTTCGAATGAAGTTTTATTAGACGTATGATTTCATGAAGTGGCGAGTAGTTTCATTTTTTCTGATTAATGACTTCTTTTGAATTGTTTCCAAGGGATAACACAAACAGATGCAATTAAATAATTACTGGAGATTTCTTATGTTGATGCTAAACCAATAAACTTTATTAGCCACATTAATTTTGTCAAACTTAAGATGTTTTTTTTCCTTGCAATGTTTTATTAATAAAAATTTTAACTATGCGTCGACCCCATTGATCAAAACATTGTAATAATAAAACAATTATTGAACTTTATTGATCTCACATTGGAGAAATTTACCGATACATTTAACCCATCCGCTTGGGGAGCAGTGGGCTGCCATCGTGGGGCACAAGGGGAGCAATTGGGGGTTAAGGGTTTTTGCTCAGACATCCAGAGTGGCAATCTGTGGGAGTGGGACTCAAACTCAGAACCTCAGGATTCCAAGCTCTATGCCCTAACTCACTAAACTGTGTTTAAAAACGTATCTGTCAACATGATGCATCTGCTAAAAAGAGGTGTTATCGTTTGCAGTTTATCATTAAAATTATCAAGAATTTTGGGGCAGCCTAAAAGGAAAAGAA